TTTGTCGTAGAAATGAGCGCGATGCGAACCTGTTTTCAGATTTACGTTAAACTCAGCTTGTTGCATCACTCTGGTTCTGGTGCGTCTGCCGCCCAGAACCTGTTTGGACCTCAGGGAGTCCGTCAGAACCGCTCAGCAGTCTGGTCGATGCCTATCTGTGTTGGCCTGAAAGCTAAACATCCTCTTCCCGACGGCTTCCTTCCTCCGGCTCCTCTGGGATTCAGACGCAGACTTTATCGTGGGAATAATTTGTCTCCTCTCCAGGCTTTTAATGAACTCTCATCATTTAGCAAAAAGGAAATTCATCAGTCGACTCTAAAAAAATCTCATCCATTTGCAAATGATTGTTTCCCTGCAGAAAACGTTTTGTAAGGCTGAAAGCGGCTGAACGGAGCCGGCGGTGGAGGTGGGGTGTGGGTTTCTGTATATGTCATGGGAAGAAACAGCTGGTGGGAATTAAAGGCCCCACTGACACACAACGGCCCGGATCGAGATGAAAATGCTTCTGTGGAGGAGCGTCTCTAAAAATACCGGGCAGGCCTGTAATTAGTGGTGTGTGTGCAGAGCAGCTGCTGCGGTCCACAGCAAAGTGTCTCTAATTACCAGGCAGAGCTGCTGCTGCAGCCGACCAATCAGGGGGCTCCTCCTGATTATCCTCGTTTATCTGCGCTTTAATTTATGATTCTGCTTCTGTTTAATGTTTGGATCCCAGGCAGAAGATCTGAAACCTGCTTGTGGGTTTATATTCCTCTGCTGGTTGCTGAAGCAACGTTCTGTTATCAAAGAAGCTTTATTTTAGTTTTGACTCACATTAAACCATAAAAAGTCCAGTTTTAGTTCAGGACGAGTGCTTCATATTTACGAGGTTCATAAAGAGACGGGGGGGAAAAAATGCCTGAAATTGGATATTTTCCAGGTCAAATGTGTAAAAATATTTCTGTCCATCTGTCTTCATCCACCGACCGTCTATCAGTTTGTCCCTCTTTGTTCTCAGCCTGCAGGTTTTAGTTTTTATGAGTCATTTTTATTTCATTTGAATATTTCTCATCTCTTCTAAAACAGAAAGTTTGGCAGCAGAAGTACATGAATGTGGTGATTCCTAGTCCATCTTTAAAGTCTTTTACCTGCAAACTCTGACAGTTCCAGTGTTTGTTTGTCTTAAACCCAGAGACCTTTGACCCTTTGCTCTCTCTTTGCAGTGGAGCAGGAGCGCAACCTGCTGCAGACGCGTCCGTACTGGAAGGAGTTTCGCTTCGACCTGACGCCGTTGCCGCAGGGTGAGACGGTGACGGCGGCAGAGTTTCGGATCTACAAGACGCTGACGGTCGGCCAGAGGGCGAACCGGACGCTGCACATCTCCGTTTACGAGATCAAACGAGAAAACAGGAACAGGTAGATCCTCCAGCGTTACTGGATTCTTTGTTTTTATTGAACTTTAAGGCTTTATAAAGCTGAATAAATCATCTCATCTCTGAATGGTTTAATTGTGTGAATAAAAGAATCAGAATACAGGCTATAAATGTATTGCCAATGGCGCCATCATCTGGTGTTAGTGAAAATATGTATTTGTTAGCAGCTCATTATTTCTCTGAATAATCTCATTATTGTTTGCAGTGTTTACACTGTTGTAAGTAGATGCATAATATCCTGAAACATGCAGATTCACTGAAGAAACAGGAAATCTTACCAAGTATTTTTTCTCTTTTCCAGTACAAACATCTTAGTACAGCTGAAATAAGATAAAAATAAGTTTTCTGCAGAATCTAGGAGCTTGTTTCAAGTCAATAATTCCTTAATATTTATTTTTTTAAAAGTAATAGTTCCACTGGCAGATTATTTCACTTCTAATATGGAAAACGTATGTTTTTCCCATATTATTAGTACTTTTATCAGTTTTAAGGAATCATGAACTTAAAACAATCTTCTGTATCTTGCAGGGAAAAAAAAACTTAGTTTGGTCTTATTTCAAGCACAGTAACATGTTTGCACTAGAAACTAAATATTAAGATTTGTGTTTTTGCAGTGAACTGTGGAACAAACAGTGGATAAAATAGTAAAAACATTTTAAACGTCAGTTTAGTTTTTAAATTGAAATTCATATCATGATGAGAAATGTTCAGAATAAAGATAAACGTCCACATTAAAGGCCTCAGTGGGCCGTGTTCGGCCCCCGGGCCTCGGGTTTGTTTCTCTGATGGCGTTTTGTGGTTCTGCTCCTGCAGGGAGTCGGAGCTGGTTCTGCTGGACATGCAGTCGGTTCCTGCAGGCCAGGAGGGCTGGCTGGCCTTCGACGTCACCTCTGCCTCCAACCACTGGCTGCTCCACCCGCGCAGCAACCTGGGCCTCCGCCTCTACGTGGAAACGGAGGACGGTGAGGCCATCGACCAATCGCACCGCAAATTAAAACGAGTTCTGTGATTTCCACTTGCCTAATGTTTTTTTTTCTCTTTCTGGATGATGAAAGTCTTCAGCCTGGTGATTTTGGGTGCAGAAATGTTGGCTTTTCAGAAAAAATATCTGGACAGACGAGGTTCTAATTATTATAAAAACTTGGTTATAAAATGATAAAAAATAAAGATTTTCCATTGAAACAAATTTTTATCATTCTTTAACTGCAGCTGGGGACCACAAAAAATCAGTCCAAGGGCCACAAATGGCCCCTGCGCCACAGTTTGGACTCCCCTGGTTTCCACTATCATTTTTTTCTTATGAAGTTCAGATTTCAGTCTCGACATGAATGTTAACTTTTCCATTTTGTGGGTTTCCTCCATCAGATCCAACCAGTTCTTTAGCCCCAGGTTGAAGACGATTTTTTGGCTGTGAAGATTCTTAATACGTATCCTGACCGGGTTCTAGCAGAAGTTCTGGGTGTTTCTCCTTCCAGATCGCACGCTGTCGGCCAGCTGGATCGGCCTGGTGGGCCGCAGAGGCCCGCGCTCCAAGCAGCCCTTCATGGTGACCTTCTTCAGGGAGAGCCAGATCCCGTGTCGGCCGACTCGCGCCGTCCGGCCCAATCCCCGGAGGAAGAAACCCAAATACGACCTGCCCATCCCCACCATCCACGGTACAAGCCTCTCCGTCAGGAGAACCCTTTAACTCGGTTCTGTTCGGTTTAAAACTGGGCCGTTTGCTTCTCTTCAAGGTCGCGGTTCTGTGAGTAAAGGTCAACCCTGCAAGAAACACGAGCTGTACGTCAGCTTCAGTGACCTGGGCTGGAAGGTGAGTCGGACCACAGAAACATCAGAACATTTGGTTCTTCTGTTGGTCCAGAACTTCTGTACTGCAAACTTAGAGTAACTAAACCCCAAATTAACTTCATTTGTTCAGATAAACTTTCTAAATTGGTCTTTAAGGCTTCTATCTTTGTTTCTCCACATTTTTTTTAAAATATTTTACGTGTAAATGTGTTTAATTTTACATTTGATTAAAACCGACTCAGTGCTGCCCTCTGTAGGTCAAACTGTGGCTACTGCAGTTAAAGTTTCCTATTGATTATAATGTCACTCAGACACGCCCCCTGGTGGGGGTTAGGGTTAGGGTTAACCCTAACCCTAACAGGAGTTATTGTATTATATACATTGTATACAGATTAAAAAAAGGTAATTTGCTGGAAAAAAAAAACCAAAAAACCATTCAGATCAATAATTAAAGCAAAAATGTCCAGAAGTACCTGATCACATCAACCCAGAGTATTATCCCTCATTCTGCCCTATCAGGGCAGAATGAGGGATTGGGATTAATGGTGTTTTTGATTTTGAATTTTCTGTATTTATTGTTTCTCTGAAATCATGCTGAACTGGTGTTTGGTTCTGTTCAGGACTGGGTTCTGGCTCCGGCCGGTTACTCTGCCTACTACTGCGACGGTGAATGCATCCACCCAATGGGCGCCTGCATGAACGCCACGAACCACGCCATCATCCAGCAAGTGGTCGGTACCCAGAACCGAAACATTTCTACAGATTAGCTCAGATTTCGATCAATTTTCATGTTTAAATATTTCAGAATAACTTTAATACATCTGAATAAAAAGAAAAAGCAGCTTTTCAGATTCGCAATGGCTACACAGAGCTCCTATCAGAGTAAACTTCACATCATTTTTTATGTTTTTGTGTTAAAAGATGTTAAGTAGACAGGAAATATAAAAGTATTTCTGGGTAATTATATGTTACTGGAAAACATTGCCAGTGAAATGCTATTAAACCCACAATTGAAAAGGGAAAAAAAACTGCTATAAAAACATCCACTTTTTTTGAAACATCATTTTTCTATTTATAAAAACACAACTATATTTTTATAATTTGATTTTTTGTTTTGGAAAAATATTATGTCATTTTTTCACCACCATATGCCAATATCCAAACATTTATTTAAAACGATTCTTTTCCACCCAAACACAAAAAAAACCCTGTAATGGAGTCGACAGTAAAAATCATCTGATCATTAATCAATATCGTAACGTTCTGCAGGTCCACCTGATGAAACCGGACGAGGTTCCGTCGGCCTGCTGCGCCCCCACCAAACTCAGCTCCATCTCGGTGCTTTTCTACGACGACAACAACAACGTGATCCTGAAGAAGCATCGCAACATGGTGGTGAAGACCTGCGGCTGTCTATGAGAGGAAGAGGAGGCCGCCCTTCCTCCCTCTGCCCCGACATGAACTCTGACACGGCAGGTCGGTTCGCGCTTTAACTGCTGCTTTAGGATCCAGTTTGTTGCTTTCACATAGATTTATCGCAGGCATTCAGACTTTTATCTATTTAAAAACAGATTTAGTTTTCTACAGAAGACGTTATTTTACTGTAAAAAGAATAAAAACATTAGATTTGATGATTACAGTACTGTTCCAGTTGCTGCTGAAGGTCAACAGGCAAATGATGCTTTCTACAGTTTGATGCCTCGTTTCTTTTAACATGTTTTTGTATGTGAAGAATCTATTAAACTGTAATAGAAAATGTAGTTAATGGTGATGCTTTATGTATAAAAGATCTTAAAAGTTAAATATATTGATTGCTTTATTGAAAATGTAAAAAAAAAAAAGTACAGTGAAAACATTAATTCAGTCTTTTGGGGGCAAATTTTTAACATGAAATCTGCTTTTTGTTGCAGTGGAAGAATATTATAATGGTGGAAAAACTGAATCTGTTACACTAAAAGTTAGTTACATGTAATAAATATATATTTTTAAACATGGAGGGGGGGGGGCTGCTGGTGTTTGTCTGCCCAGGTTTCTGTTGTGCGTCTCCCCCGTTGTCCACTGAATACTGACAGGTCCCGAGTTCAACATCGCCCAGGCAACGCAGCCGAGTCATCTGTGGTCATCGTGGTTCTGCAGATAACAGGAATGATTCAGAAAAAAACATCCAAGATATAAACACTGGATGATTACAAAGTTTGTCTTTCTCGTTTTCTTAGAAGTACAAAGAAAACATTGGCACATCATCACCTTCCTACTATGACCCAACTCGCATCTCTTTCTAAAAGTATAAGGCCATTGTTTTAGGAAGGTGACCATATGTGACATTTGACTCAAATTTACTGAAACCACTGGCAGGTTTTACAGTTTTTATAGCCATTTCCATTTACATGCAATTTGACAATGAAAAACCAATGCAAACATGCCAATTCCAATAAATCTGTTCAATTAACAAAGCTGCAAAGGAAACACGTTTTGATCATGAGTCACATCAACAACCAGCTGTTTCTACTGGCCAAACGACAACAGGAAGTGGTTGGAGGATCAACTGAACGGTTTTTAATCACTTTTTGCATCAACAAACTTATTCATGTGTGAAATTATGTTTTATCAACAGTAGCAGAACATAGTCAAAGTTTTTCAGACATTTGTGATGGAAATGCAGCAACTGTCTGTAAAAGTAATAATTTGAATTGTTTTTTTTTTTCCTTAAATTAATATCAGTTATTTAAACCTGTGTTGTCCAAATGAATTCCCCTCAGGACCAAGTGCAGTTTGGTGAAATAAACGAAAAACCTCATTGTACCGTCTAAACTTTTTATTTAAAAAAAAATAATATTTTCAAAATGTCACATTTTGCAGCTACATGGTCAATGGAAACACAGCTACAGTTTCTTAATTTGTTTTCCTACTGAAGAAAAGGAGCTCAATGTTTGTTCTAGTCTCATTTCAAAACTAAAAAATAAACATCCTATTTATTAAAGATGCTTTTGATTTATAAAAAATGTTGCCCTAAGAAATGAAAAACTGTCCATCTTCATCAACTAAAGGAGCTTGTGGGCCAAATTTGCCCTAAAACTTGGCCACCAAAAATCTTTCTGAGGGCCATAAATGGCCCCCAAGCCGCACTTTGACCACCCCTGATTTAGACCCTTCTTATAAAATGAGTTTTATAATTCCAGCTATGAAAAGTCCTTACCTTCACCCATCTTCATCGTCTCAGCGGTCCGTTACGCCTGAACGTCGGCCAGCTCCGGAGGCATCGGAGACTTTGGGTGTTTGCTCTCAAAGTGCTGCTTGAAGGTTTTCGGGTCGGGCATCTGGGTCTGAAAGAACCAGAACAAACAGAAGAACTTCAGATGTGAAGAAATGGTTCGCCAGTTGTTAAAACAGAAAGAGCAATAATCTGTCCGGACGTTAAACATCTCGTGGCTCATTCTGTCTAAACAGTTTCTGTAATCAGGTCTGGGTTTTGAAGAACTTGTTGGTACCGACCCGACAGACCGGGCAGGTGTGGACCAGCGCGGCCTTGGCGGCGGTTTTCTGGTCGGCACCATGAGATTTCTTCTTCTCTGCTGCTTTCTTTGCGTTCTTTTGCTGGGACTGAATCTTCTGCTGCCCACGAGCCATGGCTCTGCGCCTGAGGAGGAAGAAGAGGAAGAGGAGCAGCGACGTTAAAGGAACTTCATCACCAAACATAGAGACATTAAACCTCTGGAAATGTTATGTTTGAACTGCAGTTTGGTAATAAAGTTCAAAATAACTTAATTAAAAGACCTTTTGTTCCTCACTTCCTAAAGTTAAATCAAAATAACTTTTCTTGTTTTAGGTCACCAAAATTTTTTATATTTACTAAAATGTCAGAAAACTTAGTGGGAACATTTTTTAAGAGATTTGAAACTAAATTTTCTTAGTATATTTTGTTCAAGCATTTAATTTCAGGGGGAATGTAATTTACTTTTATTACCATGATTTGTTTGGATGATGAATATTTATCATTCCTAATCACTCAGTATTTTATTGATCCATGTAGCTGTTGTCTTATATTTTATAATTGCCAGAGTTATTTAAATTGGGCAATTTTTCAATAGCAGTAATAAATGACTTGTATCTCCAAACTGTTGGGGGGGAAAAAGTTTAAGTCACTTAAAAATGTTTGGAAAGTGTTTGAATATTACTGTGGGGAAACGAGTACGAACCCTGAGAAGATAATTTACTGGATTTTCACCAAAAGGTTAAAGGTAAGTCTGAAGTTTACAACACCAAAACAAACCTTCAGCAGTAAAGATACTTAAAATTAATATTTCACATATTTTTGTCAACTCTTCAAATCTGAATTTGCAGTTCATTTCTGGAGATTTTGATGTCTAACAAATTACAAATCCAAAAACATAGAACGTAAAAAAGACCAAATAAGCAAAATACAGAGCTGTTATCCTGCTGATGATCATTTAAAGTAAAACTTTGTTTATAAAGCACTTTTTACGATAAATATAGAAAGTGCTTCAAATAAACATAGAAAACAAATTTAAGCAGATTTGAAAATACCTCAGCTTACCCAGACATTTTTTACGTCTTACCATCAAATATTTCGTGTTGGACACAATGTCGTAACATCTATATCAGAATTTATTGTTCTTATGTAATATTTACGTTATCAGAGAAGCTTAATTTTGGGGCTTTAACGAGCTGTTAATCTACAATAATACAAAAAATAGACTCAAATAGAACTCTGCATGTTAAAAATGTACTTTTTTTGGTTTTCCGAATTATTCTATGTAATAATTTCAAGAAATACAGCTTGAAATAAACATCGAAAACAGTCCTTAAGCTACTATTCAGACGCCAACTTCAGGGAGCTAAGTTAGCACCGAGAGAGAAATGGAAACCCGGCTACCCGTTTAACTACTTTTATCCGTTTTGAGTCATTCAAGCCCAGACGCCTGATGCTGTTTTAACATATAAAATGTATTAAAATGTCTAGTTTGATAAAAAAAAACTACCGTGGCTCAAAGCAGGTTTTTTTTTTTTTTCAACCGGCGCCGCCTTGAAGCTAACGCTCCTAGCTTAGCAGCGCTAAAGTTTCATACAGCTCAAAGTTAGTTTATAGCTCAATATCCTTACGTTTAAATGATAACAGTGGATGTGCATGTTAATTTCAAACCGGAATAAAGTTTAACCGGAGCTATTAAGAAAGTAAGAAGCTCACAAACTCGGTGAGGTTTACCTTCGAGAGTCGACTCTCTTCTCTCCTTTCGTTGCTTTCCTTCTTTGAGAACGAGTAGTTCTCACCGCACCCAGAATCTACGAGCAGAGCCCTCTAGCGGACGGAGGTGGAACTGCAACCTAGGTCTTCCACATAATTCCAGAATAAAAAAAACAAACGTTTTAAAAGTGGCACAAATGACACTAATGACCACAAAATTTCACATTTTAATATTCGAAAACCTTTTTCATTCAGTTTAATATCAGCAATTTAAGCCTTCAACCATAAAGGCTTAAACTGATCAAGATCACCTTTGATCTTGCAAATTTACAATTTTTCACAGGAAAATTTCTGTTAAGATTATATTTAGTGGATTTTCTTTATCTATTTATCCAACTCACTCAGTTTCTAGAGTTTCTGATGAAGAACTCTAAGATCAGAAAAGTATACATTACATTTCTGTCCAATGATTCAAGATGTCTGAAATCAAAAGGTTCAGAAAAGGAAATATTGTATACGCAGTGAAGAAACTCTAAAAAATCTTTAAGAAAACAGGCAGAGAAACAGAAGCAGTCATGAATGGATCCAAAAGTTGAAATCCTACATGAGAAAATCCATGTTTTAAATATCAAATCCACATAAATTCAATAAAGTTGCAATTTAGAACTTTTGAAATGATTCAGACAAACATTTTAAACACAGTTTCACCACTTTATTACAGCAAATGAGTCGATATCGTACACACAGATAACAGAGACGGACAGCTTTGTGTTTTTCTCTCCTTCAGCCTTCGCCACTTGAACAGTCCACCGGGTCAGAACCAACATCAACAGCTTATCACAGGAAAAAGAAAAAACAACGATTAACACATCGGATTAATAAAAGATTTGAGGTAATGTGAAATATTTCTGTAAAATACTGCACAGTATTTTAATATTGCAGTCAGAGACAGCGCAAGGTTCTGGTCCAAAATATCACCAACTAACCACTTCATGTCTGAACGGCGCCACCTACAGGCTGGAAACTGTAAATAATGGGAATTCTGGGTGAAAGCGTCTTGAAATTCAGCCTGCATAAAGTAACTTCATATGTAAATAAAGTCCTCAGTGTGTCAAAGGCATGACGGAGTATTAAGGTTATTTTAAATAAAAGAACAAAAATGTGGCAAATCGCTATGAAAAATATAAAATTTCTGACATTAATTACACAATTATAAGAAAAAAAATTCATTTACATTCTAGCTTCCCAACTTTATTCATAATTTTATAAAGTATTCAAATCTCAATTATTGAAAAAGAAAAATCAAAAACTTTTTATAATAAATCATTTTCCTTATTTTATTGTGCTGAGATCAGCACTTTAAAATGTACTCATGATTCTTAAAACAGGTTCAGTTAAGATGCTGAAACATCATCACTTATTTAGGGGATTTAAAAAAAAAAGTAGAACAAATTAGAAGAAGAATCGTAATTTTTATCTAGAATAATTCAACTTGGATTTCTTTTTCAGCGCAGTGTTGTGTCATGATGTCCAGAACATTTAAATAAAAACCCCAAAATACAAATTTAATTGTTTTGGAGATTAAAAAAATGGCCGAAAATTCTCCAAATGTTTGGAAAATAATTTTTAAAAAAAGCATGCAGTTTTTAAAAATTTAAAAAGGAAACTATTTTAATAAATCTATTTGACCTTTTAGACCCCAACTGACTACATTCAGTCTCGTTTGGTTAGAGGAAGACGATATTTTGGATCAGAACCAGACAGGACTGGACCAAACCCGGATCGGACTGGTAGAAGGAGAACAGCCGAGATTCTTCACAGTTTTTACAAAACAATAGAAAGAGAGAAAAACATCATCTGCAAACATGATGAGTGGTTGTTTTATGCTTTTTTGCAGTATTTACATTTTGAATCGTGGAGAAAAAAAAAAAAAACTATTTACAAACTAAGACGTCGACAGAATGAGGGAGGTCAAATATAACCAACTCTGTCTGTAATAAAAAGAAATAAAATCAGTGATATTTACATGTGCAATAAGGAAATAAATGGCTTCTGTGGGAGAAAAATCGGCGCTACACGCCTGATTTCCTCCCTGCAGGGGTTTTGTTTATTTTATCCGTTTTCATTTCACGCTTTTTCATTGCCGCAGTAATCTGGACAGCTCTGAGCGTGAACGGTGGCGCCCCCTGCAGGGACGAAGGGCGGCACGGAGCGGACGCTGGGCAGGGAGGGAAGCAGGATGTGGGCGGCAGTGACCTCATCAGACCCGAAGGTTACCGGTTAAAAACCGGCTGGCAGCGACGCAAAACACCAGGCGGCCCGTATGGTTCAAACACGCTACACTACGAACTTTCACGTGTTCTGCTCTGCTGACTAACACCGGTACCGTACAGTTCGGACCGCAGTAAGAATCTCAGACACAAACACAAGGATTTACATTCGCTGGATTTCTACATTTATTTTTCTCCCTAAAAGCTTTAATTCTGTCAGATACGCAGTAAAATTGCAATCTTAAAGCTGCTCGATTTTGAGGGGCTGCAGCTAGCTTTTAAAAGCAAATAAACCAAAAGAGATGCAAATGAAAACCCTGAACTGATAATAGACGTAAAAACAAAAACATTTTGGAGGCTCAGAATGAGAACGGTTGGACGAGAGGACTTTAAACGTCTCGGGTTTCTACAGAAACCGCAAAGTTAATCTTTCATCCAGCAGGGTGGGCAGTCACAAGCAGCTACCACTTTCAACCACAGGAGGAACAGAACTGAGAAACTACTCTGCGCTCTCCACACCGAAGCAATGCAAGAATGGCCAGTCGTTTCCAATCAGAAGTGTTTGAGAGTTTTAACGTTAAGTATTTTTGTGTTGTAAAGTTGTTAAACTCGCTAACAGATGCTAACTGATATTAATAATAATAATATCCAGTGTTTAGGTTTTCACACTGGCAGGAGTTAGCTCAATTTTAGCTTTTATTTAAGAGTTTTAGGGTCATACTCAGAAAAAATAAATAAAATTACAAGATAAAGTCAAAATGAGAATTAATTCATAAACTTGTGTGAGAATAAAGTCATACAAGAATAAAATTGTAACATTTAATTTCCCTCTGGGATCAATAAAGTATTTTTGAATTTGAATTTATTCTCGTTTATTTTTTATTTTCTTAGAGAGGCCCTAATACTCCCTCATATATTTTTCCATGTATTTAAGGCTGAATTAATGTAAAACTCTGTTAACCTGTCATTTTAAAGCAACGTCTCCAACAGACCAGTCTTGTCTTTCTTTTGGCATTTAAACAACCTGAGATGTGGAGCGGCATTCAGCAGGGTTCATATCCAGACCATTTCATTTCTACATCTTACTCCATTTTCAGCCATAAAAAATAAGAATCAAATAAAAAACACAGGCTGTTCGGTCTTTGCACGCTCAGACGGATGTTTTAGCGGCACAAAAATCGGGTGCAGAACATTCCAAATCAAGACAAATCCGATGCGTTTAAAGACGAAATTAGTCAGAAACAGCCAAAGGCGTCACTGGAAGTCATTTTGCAAAGCGTTTCAGATTGAACATTGGTCTGGTGTTCAATGTTCAATCTGAACATTGAACACCAGACCAAACCAAGTGTGGTTTGTGTTCAGCAAACCACACAAAAAGCTCAACTGCATGTTGCTAAAAGTGCTAACTTTTCAACAAATTCACTTCATCCTAAATTAAAACTAAAATCAAAAGTAAGAGGTGAGAAACACGACTAAAGTGGATCTCTGTGGCTGCTGATGCCGCCTGCCCAACTGATCCTAGTCAGGAGGTTTTCATTTACACCAAAACTCTGGGTTGGATTTTCCAAACATCACGGTTCTAAAAACACGCAAGAATAAAAAATTATCTGATTTTAAAAATAATCAACGTTTGACCACATGGCAAATAAATAAAAACAAAACGCGGATTAAAAACGTTCTTTTCAGAGGACCAGCCCCCACTATTGAACCTCCTCGTTCCACCACACCAGGTGTGCGTGTGTATGTGTGGGTGTGTGTGTGTGTGTCTACAACAACCTCCTGCCGTTTCCATCCCGGCAGCTAAAGAGCTAACAGTCTTAACAGATTTACTGTACAGAGACAGATTATAGAGAGGACAGAAAGCAGCAGAGAGAGCTTGTGTGTGTGTGTGCGCGCGTGTGTGTGGGTGTGTGTGGGCGCGCGTGTGTGTGGGTGTGTGTGTGTCTGAGAAAGAGAGGCCTGCAGGTAGTCGTTGGTTTGCCCTTCACATGCTGTTCACGGGTCCAGGAAGCAAACTGTGGTGAGATGAATCTGAACCGGGACCATCTGAGGAAACACACAGCGAAACGATTGTTGTTGTTGCAATGCTGCCATCTTGTGTCCAAAAACAGCAACAACATGCATCTCATCTAATAAACACAAAAAGGCCACATTCACTCACTCCCATTCATACTTTTTAAAATCTCTGTTACCTCGGCAACCCTTCCCTACCGATCAAATTCAACTGAAACTGAAATTGTGGTCTGAAATCAGTGTTTTTTTTCCACTCTCCTTTAGGGCTGAAATGATTAATCAATTAACTGAAATAACTGTCAATTAATTTAGTAACTGATCAATAGTTAACTGGCGAACACAGACTCAAGAAAAGGCAGTTTGCTGAAAGGACACAATCAGGGCTGTAATTAGGTCAAAACCTAATAAAAATATAAGTATTTAGCAATCAAGATAAAAAAAAATCATTTTCTGTGTGTAAATATGTTCAACTCGAACCTCCTCTGGTGGCATGGCCATGTTAGCTTATAGCATGGCAAAAATGTTTTGTTATAAGTAAAAATCAATCAGTGGAACTAGTGCATTTTTAACCAATATTAAGGGATTATTGATCTAAAACAAACTCCTATATTTGGCAGAAATTGTTTCCCGTCACCAAGTTATTTCCACCAGAAACTAAACCAAAAATACTTTTTGCAGTACTTTAATGGGGACAGAGAGGTTGGTGAAAGTTCCATCCATCCATTTTCTTTATACCTTGTCCCCTAGTGGGGTCGGGAGGTCCTGGTGCCTCTCCAGCTAACGTTCTGGGTGAGAGGCGGGGTCACCCTGGACAGGTCGCCAGTCTGTCGCAGGTTGGTGAAAGTTGATCAATGTAAATAAGCATGGGCCATTTTTAAATTATATTGGCCTAGTCAAAGTTCAGGACTACTTAACTTCAACTAAGAATCTGTGGAAAGACAAATTGTCTTTACCTGTCAGGGGGGAGTGATAAGAAATGCATGCCACACTTTTCAGATTTTAATTTGCATAAGTTTTTGAGAACTCCATTCTTTAGACTTTATTTTAGCTTCATGTCTGCCCACCAAATAAAATCCAAATCAGGTGCGATTTCAGAGGAGTCGTGGGTATTTCTATGATATGACAGGATGATGATTAAATGACAAAAGGGGTTTCCCACCGTGGACAGAAGCAGCCGTATGCGAGCGAGCGTGAGGAGGGATGAGGATCGAGTTCAGCTGAGGCTGGATCGAGAGCTCTGCACATAAAAGCAAACACCAGACTCCTCCTTAAGATGCAGAAACTGAGGCGGACGGTGAGGATGAACGCGGCTCTGACCTGTGGTGCTGAAGTTGAAGAGCAGGGGCAGCTCGCGTCCGCTGGGCAGCCGCGCGTTCGGCTGGCGCAGCTCGTCGAAGAAGGCGTGGGCGCAGGCCTCCAACGGGGAGAGGCGCGACGCCGGCGTGTACTCCAGCAGCCGGGAGCAGAGGGTGATGGCCTCCGGAGAGGTACGAGGTTTAAACACCTGAAAAGAGGAAAAAAAACCGATGCAATCAGGTGGTTCCACCTACAGAGGGCGCCAAAGAGCTGAAGGGCTGCATATTATTCCAAATTCAAAGTAAAAATTTGAAGCTACTGAAATTAAAAACAAACATGCTTTAACCAAAAATTCAAAACTTGTTTTTAGTGTTTCTCACCTTGGTCCATGGATGAGCTTTGATCTGTGGGAACTTGAACTCTGTGTAGTTTGGGTTCATCTCTCGTATCTGTTCCCTCGTTGGCGTTCCCAGCACCTTAAAACCAACCCAACAAAAATAATTAAAATATTAATTATGTAAGAGGCTTAAAATCAAATTCAGCATGAATTCCTGAAAAACGAAGTAATATGGAGTCACATTCCTGCCAAGAACCAAAGAAATAATGGAAGAAAGGACTGATGAAAGAGTAGCTCTGTTTTCCATTTATCTGCAGGCCCATGAACGCATCACGGCAAGCGGTAAACCAAAACACTCCTCTGGGTTTTTTTGGCAGCAGTGTGACTCCATACATGCATGAATCAAAGGTCAGAGGTCAGCCTCACCTTGATGATCTCCACCAGCTGGTCGACGCCGCTGTCCCCGGGGAATATGGGCTGACCCAGCAGCAGCTCCGCCAGCACGCAGCCGGCCGACCAGATGTCGATGTTCGCCGTGTAGTCGGTGGCGCCGAAGATGAGCTCCGGGGCGCGGTAATACCGCGAGCAGATGTATGACACGTTGGGCTCGCCGCGAATCAGCTGCTTGGCACTGAGGGCAAGGACAGAAAACCATCAAAATGGCAGAAACACTTAGAGACCACTGTCGCCCGCCACTCACCTGCCGAAGTCGCACAGCTTGAGGACGGCAGTTTCCGGGTCGACCAGGAGGTTCTGCGGCTTGATGTCTCGATGGCAAACGCCCTGCGAATGGATGTAGGCAAGGCTGCGAAACAACTGGTACATGTAGACCTGAGCAGGGAAAGACAGCCGGTCACATCAGGAAGGAAAACGAAACTTCTGATGTCTGATGACGTTTTTACCTTCACATAAATGATGGGAATGATGCTCTTGGTTTTGTTGAAGTGCCGGGCGACCCGGTAGACCGTCTCAGGGACAAAATCCAGCACCAGGTTGAGGTAAACCTCATCTTTCTGTCACGGAAAGAAAAGATGTAGGAGATAAAAACAAAACAAGCTGCCAGGAAAGATTTACGTCAATTTGTTTGAAGCTAAATATTCCAAAAACATTAAGAGAATCTTAAAACATGAGAATGAAAACATGTTTACAGGAATCCATCATGGCTTCGGTTTATAGCAACAAACTACTGAACCACTGAAGAGCAAGGTGCACTTTCTACACGTCTACTGATCATAAAGCCATTTTAAAGCAGAAAGACAAAAAGACAGAAGAAAAGACTGGCAGCTGAAAAGACGGATGGACATTTCCCCCAAACCGGAGGAGGAGCCGAACCTTCTCGCCGCTGGAGTAGAAGAAATATCGCAGACGGACGATGTTGCAGTGATCCAGCTTCCTCATGATCTGTAACTCCCGGTTCTGGAAAAAAAAAAAGTGAGAAAAACAAATGAAGTTTTTCAGAGTAAAAGACCCAACAGATTAAAATAAAGTCCAGACCAAAGCTTCACCTTAAACCTCTTATCCTGCAGAACTTTCTTAATGGCCACCATCTCCTGGCTGTCGATGAGCCGGGCCTGGTACACGACGCCAAACGATCCATTCCCAATAACCTGCCGGGATTTACAGAACACCAGTCAGACCAGTAAAGGCTGATGGGAGCTGCTGGGTTCTGTGGTCTATTCTGGAATCTATTAAAGCAACAGAAAACTCGACCAACAGCTTCATCACTATGACTTAATTTTATAATTTATTTCCAGGTACATAGTTCTAATAGTATCCATTTTATTTTATTCCATTATCCTTTAATTTTTTTCATATTCTGTATTTATATAACTTTATTTAGTCGTATACATTTTCTCCTGTCCTGTTTTTCCTTAAATACATAATATCATTACAAAAAATTAATTATGAAATAAAAAATTAACTAATTATTAAAACAATACAATAAATAATAGTGATAATGTTTCACACTTTATAATCAAATAAACTTCTTTTTTATCTTTGGATGCAATATTTGGTACATATTCATCAAGCCATTTATTTATTTATACATTTATTGCCAATTTTGTCATGATTTGTTCTCCATACAATAATACTGTAGCTTCTGCAAACTCCCATCAGAAATTACACGTTTGACTTCATAGGAAAAATAAACTGAAAATGTTTAATTTAAAGCTCCAAGCCACAAATCAAAGTTTTATTTGTTTATTTACCACCCAAGAAATACATCTGGATGGAGAAGTTTTCCTATTTGCAGCTAAATAAATCATTAAAAGTCTTTGGCATTATTTGCAGTCCGACATTTCAGTGACCTGGAACATTTGGCCGTGATTAAAGAGCGAAAGAGAGCAGAGTAAACAGCCACCTTGATATCGGTGTAGGAGACTTCCTGTGGGCGGTCTGGACCCTGACCCGGCGTCGCTACGACCGTCGTCACCTTCCCAATGTCTCCTAGGCAACAAGCAACAACAGGTTTAATCAAACATCTAGGGATAAAGTCTAAAAGATGTTAAAGATAAGATTATTATGGATTAAATCTCTGGACCTTCTCTCTGCTTCCTGGAGGAATATTTAAGTTGGATGGATTTTAATACACAGAGTGGCAGAGTTCATATTCATGGCTGTGTGACTAATTAACCTGGGAAGCCGCAAAAATAGGCCAACATTGTCTTTATTCTGCAGAGCTGCGTTCAGTGATGCCAGCCAGCATTTAAAAGGATTATTCTGTCACACAATCCAGCTTCAAAGGAAAAGTCCGACGTCTAATTAACTAATTTATAGAGGAAATATTTTATTTCTTGTAATGCCAGCTGGAGCTAATTTATTGACTCATTCAGGGATGCAGCCATGTGTGGCAGAATGAGGAGTTACTTCAAGAATATTTCATATGTTTACATTTTACAATACATTTCCTTAGGTTTGTTTTTATGTGTATATCAATTCTGAGGGGAAAAAAAGAGGAAAAAAAGTCAGAATTATGGAGAAAAAATTTGAAAATATTTGAGAATAATGAATTATGATAAAAAAAAGGTGAGAATTATGAGAAATTCAAATCTGAGGAAAAAAGCAATTTTACAAAAAAGTGAGAATTATTTTTTTTAATGTAGGTAATTTTTATTTGAACAGTCATTAAAGAGACACTCCCCTTTAATATCACTGAAAAGCTGCCATTTTGAGAAATGCTGCAAACTTTTGACACTCGGTATGAACTAATTAGTTTGCACTACCTGCCCCTTTTCCCTGTTTTCCCTGTCGAAGCTGAATGGTTATTTCTTGAAATGCAATTTTCATAATTAATTTTAATTAATGGTATTTTGGTTGTTTTATTGATTTAAAATGTTTTCCAGTTCCAGTGTTAAATGTTCTTTAGAAATCAGTGCTTTTTCTATTATCTTTGGGTGAGTATACTTAAACTAATAACTAGTATTTTGGCTGAAAATTGTGTCAATATTATAATTTCTGGGATAATTTTTGATCATGACAGGCTGACATGGTAAACCATCATCAGTCCATGAAGGTTATCTAACCCTAACACTGCTGGTATCGGTATCAGTTAACTAGGCTCACTGAGTTCTTTACCCAAACTACAAGGTTCATCCTCTGGACAAACATAAATAAGTAGATAAGAAGTAAAATGCTGGTTGCTGTGCCATTTTTTGATATCAAATTCCACTTTTTCCTCAGTTTTGGAACTTTTTCTACAGCCTTTAATATTCTCAGTCATAAACCGTACCAAAGGGTTTGTTGTAGGTTTTAATCTCCATTTTCTTCCAGGCTCTGCAGCCTTGAAAAACCTTTAAAACCTTAAATTACTGGGAAGAAATGACCACGCTGCAATTTTCAAAGCTACATATTTCCATCAAGAGAAACAGGAAATGCTTCAATCCCTTTTTTCTACCAAACTACAGGAAAAACCTACTTCAACTTCACTCATAGCGACTTAAAGATAAACATTCCTAATATACGTTGACCCATCCTCAATGTTCACAACATTTTTGTGCATCTAGTGTTGTTTGACTGCTTCTTTATATCCAAATCTGTAAAAGTAATTGTTTACCGCTTCCAAATACCTAAAATGCAAAGAAATAAAGGTTTAAGATTTTACTGATTTAAACACAAGATGCACAACATTAGACAATCATTCAATATTGTGTTTAGGACTGTCACAATACATCTGGATGATAAATTGTCCCAGAAATAATTGCGATAAATGATAATATTGTCTGTGATATCTGCCTATCTTCAGCTCTCGACATACCTGCATTTTTCTGTGACTTTTAGCATTTTGGGTGATCTTAACTGTGTCTGACATGAACAACAGTGGCCAATATTAGCTGGCTAACACTTTGAATATATTAGCAATAATAATAATAATCCTTGGCAACATGCATATTGCACACAGATCCTGCAATGACAATATATTTGTGTTATATTACTGGAGCTAACACATGCTAGCACAATCTAGCTGAAGGATAAATTGAACCATGTGGATTTTATTAGGAAAACACAACGAATCTAGAGATTCTAGACACAAGCAACTTACTTGAGCTTTGAATACTGTGACCACGCCTTACTTGATTCACTCACAATACAGAAATGATAAAATCTAGACTGAATTTTAGCCTCTTATGTAAAGGTATATTATTTGACAAATAAAGTTTTCCAAGAAATTGCTACTGTAAAATATAGTCTTTTCTGCCCAGATATTGAATTATTAAGATGTCAGGACAGTCATGAGACTTCTTCAGTCAGAGGCTTCTTCAGATTTGTTGCAAGACTGACTGCTACCACAAAGACTCTTTGAATGTACTGTGATGACATTGGATACTACATTTAAAATGGATTTCATATTAGTTTCAGAGTAAGGAAACAAACTCATTGAAATCCCAGAAGACATCAGTGTTTTGAAGCTGGACGTGCATCACTTGCATCCTCCAGGCGTCGGCCACCTGCTGCCGAGTCTTCGCCCCACAGGTGACCTTGGTGGGTGAGCATCAGTCCGCCCTGACCCAACCCCAGGCGAGTCAGACCGACAGCTGATGCCCCTCTCACACGAACACCAACAAAAGAGCCCAGCCGATGCTGCATCCAAGTTATCCGAGCCTGGCTTTGCCACAAAGAACCACCGACTAATTCATGTTCTCACTCCCATCTGACCCCAGTAAAATTAACCCGAGCCCCGCTAGACATGGTTTTATATTTTAAATTCAGATGATCACCTGATAGCCTGGCGTTATAATAATCTTCTGAACTGGAGTCACAGCGGAGGGAGGAGGCGATATCATCCGGACCGGGAACTAACAAAACAAGTGGCTAAAACAGCCAGGCTAGCTAGCATGCTAATAAGTTCGTTAGCATAGTAACTATTCCAACTGGAAAAAAACCCTGCCTTGCTAACGAACTTGTTAGCAATCTTGTTAGCATGCTAGCTATTCGTTACACACAGAGAAAATGACTTTTCTCTGTATCTAGTTATTTTTCAACATTAAAATTGCTACTGTAATATATGCATGGGATAAAAGTTGAAGCTAAGAAATAATAGGTATAAATAACTCACTGGAAAGCTTAAGGTTCGAGCATCCCGACGAGCTGCTGCCGGAGGCCTGCGGGACCCCGGACTTTCCTGTGCTGCTCCCCACGGCAGCGGCTGATCCGGCGGAGGCTGCAAGGGCTCCTGGAACACCTGGCGGCTCAGCAAACGAGCTGGTCCTGGGCCGCCCGCTGCCGCTCATATCTCTGAGCAGAGGTCAGAGTTATTTTTCCCACTGTTTTCAGCTTAGTGACTAATAATTATGAACAACCGGCAGCGAATAATGTTATAAAATAGCGCTCCAGTTGCCGCCGCCAGCTGTCTGGGCTGAAAGCTGTTGCTAGACACCTAGAAACGGAGCTCCCGCAATGCCACTTGGGAAATGGAGTACGAAGCTACTGAGGCTGCTTTAAACCCTCAACAATTTGAGCATTTATTATTAAACAAAATATTAAATATAAAACAAAAAAAATTCACATTTACGACTCCCAAACATCCCAATTTAAGCAGTAAACCTATAGATCATATACCCCTACTTTAGGGCCACTGCAAATGGAAAAAATGAGAACATTTCCACCAAAAAACTCAGAAACATTGAGATTAATTTCTGAAATTTTCTGGAAAGAACCTGGAAATTTAAGAATTTAAAATTATATTATGAATCTATGTTGTTTTTCAATTTATACTTTTCAGTCTTTTTGCCCTCAAGACAGCCAGATAGAACTCATTTAGAACCACAAATGTCTCATGATTTTCTTTTAAAGTCAGCTTATAAATTTAAACAAATATCTACTTTAGGAAGTTTGTTGTCCTTTTCAAAGATCTAAAAGCATATTAAGCATTTTTCACTCTTCAAATTATAAAAAAGTATAAAAATAATTTGCTAAACAAAATACAGTTTGAATATGATTATTGTCTTTTACAAGTTTGTCTATGGACTCAACAGGAATTTAAATAGTTTATTTCTCTTAGTTCTGTCCAGTTTTTTCTTTTGCCATTGCTTTTCTTCTTTCACATGTGTATGAAAAGGTTAATGAATGACTAAAAAAATAAATAATAAACCACTACTGGTACTTTTAGTGCCATTCTTTGTGGAAATCTAGTACAAATATCACAGAACAAAAATTTTAAATGTTGCCTTTACATTAAGAAACTATACCTGGTTCTTTTAAATATTTATCTACTTTATTTTAAATGTAGAGAAAGATGCAAACTACAGATAAAAACTCAACAACACAAGGCATTGTGTTAGATCTTTAATATTTAGTTTCTTTTTGTTGTCATTTAGAAATATTGCACATGGTCAACATGCCTGCTTATGAGATAACACATCGCTCATCCTACAAATTCCTTCTCCAAAGTAAGGACAGGTTTATTTTAGAAGCACAATCATACAGTGTACACGCATACATGTGTGTGAGTGCATGCATGTCTGTGTGGGTGTGTGCAAGAGTGCATGTGATCGCACATGCACGCAGATTGACACTCAACAGCCCTAAAGAACCCCCATAGTGACATAAACGGATAGCCTACTATTAACCTGTGTGTCTTTATTCATATATGTACTAAAATGAGTCTCCTGCATACGTTATATATACGTCTCCTGAATCAGCTGAGTTTATTAACAGTCTAGATGGCTGAGAAAATAGTCACGGTGACTATAAAAATACCGTCTCTTGAGTAGGAATACAGAAAAATATGCTGACGATGATGTTGCTGAGAGGTGAAAGGAGACCTGCCTGCATGTGCAAAAACATACACATCCCCCAAAACACAGACATAGATGCACAAATATGGAAATACCTGTAATATATTTATATATATTTTGTCACACATCCATATGTATACAGAGAAATAAAAGAGATACCCATAATAAGAACTACCCCCGCTCCGCTCTTCACCAAAGAAGCAAAGAGCCAAAAAAGTGCTATTCAAATAATTGTCGTTGACTTTTAGTAAGTTATGCTCTCTATCTCTTCAACAATGACAATATTTGTGATTCTCTTTTGTTTTTTGCTGTTTTTTATTTTAAAACCTTAGTTCATCACAACAGCTCGTTCCTCTCAGACTGCACTGCAAAAACACAGAATATTACAACATATTTGTGGTCTAGTTTCTAGTGCAAATATCTTGAATACGCTTGAAATAAGAGAAAGTTAACAAAAGTAACCTTTTAGCAAGACTTAGAAGTTGTTTTACGTCAATAATTCATTGAAATTGATGAACTTTTGGAGAAAGATTTTATATAATATCAAGGAAATTTACAACCCATCCAGGAAAAGGCTTCAGTCAGAGGCTTCTTCAAATTCACTGCAACACAGACTGCTACAGGAGATCCTTCCTGCCCACAGCCATCACTATCTACAATAACTCTGAAGAGTTCTGAATTAATATTTAATTTGCCTTTGGGAACAATAAAATATTTTTGAATTTGGATTGGAAAAGTGTTAGTTTTAAGTGGAACAACACGTTTTTCCCATAAGTTAAAATGTTTACTACTTTTTTAAAATCAATATTAAGGAATTATTGACTTCACTGTAAAAACACAAAATCTTACTAAGTAAGAGTAGTTTCTAGTCCAATTGAAATAAAATAAAACTAACTTATGTAACTTTTTTCAGGATACATTAGCTTGTTTTAAGTGAAAATGTTCTTAATATTGATGAAAACATATAAGCTCACTTACAATAGGACATTTTTCACATATATAGGTGGAATAATATGCCAACGAGACAATAATGTTTTCATCAATATTGAGAAATGAATGACGTAAAACAAGCTCCTATAACTTGCTGANAAGTTACGACTAAGTTATTTTTGTCTTATTTCAAGTACACTAAGACATTCACAATACAAACTAGACAAAAATTATTTTTAGGATTTTGTGTTTTTTCAGTGGAAACTTCAGAGACACAGAAAGACAGTTACAAAGTCAGTCTTCTGTCATGTATATTCAATGATGATTGTTTCATAACTGGTTACTGTGTTAGGTTTGTATGGTGCACTGCCTTATTTCTGAAATATGGTGTACAAATAAACTTTCCTTTTGCAGGAAGAATAAAGCAAAATATTGCATACCAAGATATTTGTACTAGAATGAAAACACTAATATTTTGTGTTTTTGCAGTTAAAACAAGCTCCTATATCTTGCTGAAAGTAATTTATAAGTTACTTTGTCTTATTTCAAGTGTAGTAAGATATTTGCACTTTACGCTAGACCAAAAATACTTTGTAAGATTTTATGTTTTTGCAGTGCTGCCCTCAATTTAATATCTATGGCACAAAGCCTTGCCCCTCCCCGCCCAAAATAAAAACCTATTTCCAAAAAAAAATAAATGTCCTATTGCACCATTTGATGGGAAAGGATAAAGTGTCGAAACGAGAGGGAGAGAGGGAAGAGGAGAAAGGGTGGGAGGGCTCCAGGTTTTGCCCTCCAGGGCTGGTCTAGGATCTGCTTTCCCTGAACTGAACCCTAACCAGAACCATCCTGAGCTACATAGCGCTTGACCCGGGACCAGTGCTTAAGGGCACTTTCTAACAAATCTTTGAATGGGGGAGGTAAAGATGGGTTGGGAAAACATACGGAACAAGGTTAATTTTACTAAAACAATCTCTTAAAAACAATACTTTCCTGATTGAACTTGTGGCGACCCCCCTCGACAAAAAGAGGCCGCACAAATTGTGCAAACACCTGATTTCGACAATTTTTTTGTTTTTCTTTACAAAACCACAAACCCCGCCCTGCCCTGTTTCTGAGTCCAGGTGGAGAAGGGAGGGCGCAGACGGATTTTATCCCCTTCTTCGTCCAGTTTCCCGCTTTCTTTCTCTTCTTTTTTAAAAAGTTTTTATGCTGGAGAAGAAACACAATAAGAGCCACGAGAGAGAGAGAAAAAACAGGCCACGGTAAAACTGGTTATTTCCACGGCAACGATAACGAGAAGAAAAGCAACGTCGTTTCTGAGAAGTTTGGTTAAGATCCTGCTTTTCTGGAGTTTATGCCTCCAAATCTTTACATAATCTCATACAGACTCAGATATCCGGCTCCGTCCGTCGTAATGGCAACAACTGAAGGTGCAAAGATTGGTCACTACATCCCGATTCTGCATCTCCGACTCTCTACAATCACGTGAAACGGTGCAGGCCGATGGCTTACTCCGACCCGGGTTGATTATCTTCGTGTGTGTGTGTGTGTGTGTGTGTGTGTGTGCTGTCTGTCCTGCAGCATCGAGGGGCTGTGAGTTATCAGTGGAGGTCGTTGGGGTTGTGTTTGCGGCCCGACCACGGTGCTGAGGAGGTCAGAGGTCAGGTCGATGGCATCTGAGGGGTGGCTGGCTGGCTGGCAACAGCAAACTGCATCTGCACGCTAAGGTAAGTGACATAGTGCCTTTGTGTGTCGTGTCCTTGGTTGCGGCAACAACCAAGCGTAACAGTCTGATTTGGTTTGTGTGTGTGTGTGTGTGTGTGTGTGTGTGTGTGTACCAGAGAGATAGAGAGTATGTACCGCAGAGTTTGAGTCCCAAACTGCTGCAATGTGCTGAGCGCAGACCTGGGCAACATTCAGGATGAAAGGAAATTCAAGAAGCACTTGCTGTGGTTCCCACACGTTAAGATTAGACAATCAAAGTTAGTCTTGAGGAGTCTTATTTTTGCCCAGGTCTAGTGGAAATCAGTGCCACACACCCTTCTCTCCGTCTTTCAGTGAAATTATTTTCCTGATCTCCTCCGTTTTGTTTGTTTTTTTACGATCCTTCGTTTTTCGGTTCCTCCAAGTTTTGGCCTTTGTCTCCCTGATGCTCCGCCCCACCATCTTCCCGTGCTGATTGGCCGTGGGACAGGGTGGGCCCGGCTTCGGACGGCTCAAGCGTCCCCGGCGTCGCCGTCTGCATGATCTTCTGACGAACCTCACGGATCTTCAGCTGCAGACACAACTTGGTGGGGAAAGTGTCTGGGTAGCGCGCCTGGAAGGAAGCCGTGGCCTGAGCTGCAGAGACGAGACGGAGAAGAGGAGGAGAATGTTCAGTTAATCAAGTTTATTTGTATAGGACATTTCAGCAACACAGCAGTTCAAAATAAAACTAGACTTCACTTTAATTGCTTTTATTAGGACAGAGACTGGATCTACCTGAAGGAAAGAAGCCGTGTTCCTGAAAAAGCTGCATGACCAGCGCGCGGCGTTGGTCCAGTGTCCTCCGCAGAGACGAGTATGGAACCCTGTCCGGGTCTCCCAGCGGGACGTCGCCTTCCAGACCTGCTGGAACAAAAAGCAACCTCACAAAACGGTCCATGCATCATCTCACTGCCAAAAGATAAAATAAAACTACGTATTACCAAGCTTATTTGTATAACATATTTAAGAAACAAGGCAGTTCAAAGTGGTTTGACTTTGTA